TCTAGAACACTTTAAGGAGGTGATCAACCTTCTAGAGAGTTTCTAGATAATCTCTAGAATTTGGACCTAATTTTGGGTTTGGTCAAACTTAGAATAATTCCATCATAAACCCAAAATTAAGCTTGATCCAAAACCAAGTTTAATTTCAATACTCCCCCTTAAACTTGATTTTGTCAACCATCCCGAGCTTCGAGCGAAGTAACTCAAATTGGCCCTTTGGTAGTGACTTGGTGAAGATATCTGCAACGTTGTCTTCGCTTCGAACCTCCAAAGCTTCAATTGTTCCATCAAGCACCTCCTCCCGTATGAAATGATGTTCTAACTCGATATGCTTCGTCCTTACATGAAACACCGGATTATTAGCCAACTTGATAACACTTTGATTATCTCCATAAATTGCAACCGGCTTATTGATTGGCTCCAACAAATCCTCAAGGAGTCTTCGAAGCCATATACACTCTTGAGCTGCGAGTGTTGAAGCTTTATACTCCGCTTCAATGGTAGACAATGACACCGTTGCTTGCTTCTTGCTGCGCCATGAAACACTTGTGTCTCCACATAAGAACACATACCCTGAAGTTGATTTTCGATCATCTAGATCTCCACCAAAGTCAGCATCCGTGAAACCATGAAGAGAAACCTTGGCATTGTACTTGTACATCAGACCCATGCCAAGAGTTGTCTTTACATACTTCAAAATCTTCTTTGCCGCTTCTAGATGTGGCTTCCTTGGTTCTTGCATAAACCGACTTACGAGACCCACCGCGAAGGCAAGGTCAAGTCTTGTAATGGTTAAGTATAGAAGACTTCCTACAAGAGAGCGATAAGGTCAAGGATCAGGTAGCAAGGACCCTTCATCGCGTTTAAGCTTTATGTTCACGTCCATCGGAGTAGTATGTGTCTTCCCTTCGTGTATTCCGAACCTTTCAACAATCCTTCTTGCGTAGCTTTGTTGGCCGACAAATATTCTATCCTTTACCCTTTCGACCTCCAAACCAAGAAAATTGTTCAACTCACCCAACTTCTTCATCTCAAACCTCACCGACATATCCTCTTGTAGACGAGCAATTTCAGCATCATCATTCCCGGTGATGATCATATCATCCACATAAAGAAGAACCACCACGTGGACTCCTCCATTCTTCTTGAAGAATAGACTCGGATCAGAATTTGATGGCACATACCCGCAAAACTGAAGGAATTGAGCAAGCTTTCTATACCAAGCTCGAGGAGCTTGTTTTAACCCGTACAAAGCCTTTTTAAGTTTGCAGACATAATCAGGATGCTCTCGTGATTTGAAACCAAGCAGTTGCTCCATGAAGATTTCCTTATCAAGCTCTCCGTATAGAAAAACATTCTTCACATCTAGTTGCCATAACTTCCAACCAAAGCTTGCGGCTAAAGATAAAAGTGAGCGTACCGTAGTCATCTTTGCCACTGGACTGAAAGTTTCATCATAATCTTCTCCATATTTTTGAGAGAACCCTCGAGCAACCAACCTTGCCTTAAATCTGTCAATGCTCCCATCCGTTTTTCGCTTAATTCGGTACACCCATTTATAAGAAACGGGTTGGACATCCTTGGGTTTTGGAACAAAATCCCAAGTTTCGTTCTTCATGAGAGCATTCATCTCCTCCTTCATTGCGCCCTCCCACTCTTGAACTCCTTTTGCTTCATCATACGATGATGGCTCCTCTTCATCTAATGGAGCTGCAAAGTAGCATGAGTAAGTAGTGACAAACCTTTCATCTCTGAACCGAGCATGCTTAACAATGTTCCTTTTTGGTACCTGTGTGTCTCTGGATCCATACACCTCCAGCCCTTCCTTTGTTCATCATAGCCGACAAAGATGCATTTCTTCGCCTTTGCCTCCAACTTGGTTCTTTGAGAGTCAAACACGTGGACGTAGCAGATTGATCCAAATATCCTGAGATGTTTCACCGTTAGCTTCTTCCCATGAACCATCTCATAAGGAGACTTCATATTGTTCGGACTAAGTGACATCCGGTTGATGACATACGCTGCACATCTCATGCCTTCCGCCCATAAGGCCTTAGGCAAATTTTTATCATGTAACCAGCTTCTACATGTCTCACTTAGATGTCTTATCTTCCTTTCCGCTACTCCATTTTGCTAAGGTGTATACGGACATGTAAATTCTCTCTTGATACCATGTTTTTGGCAAAAAGAGAGAAACTCCTTTGACATGAACTCCCCTCCATTATCCGTCCTTAAAGTCTTGATCTTCTGACCTAATTCTCCCTCCACGATAACCTTGAATTCTTAAAACTTGGAGAATACTTCTGATTTTTCCTTCACAAAGTATACCCAAGTGTACCGTGAGAAGTCATCAACAAACAGTAACATGTACCGAAACCCAGAATAGGAGGATGTTCTCGTCGGACCCATCAAATCACTATGGACCCTCTCCAACGGAGCGCTGCATCGTGAAGTGGAGTTGTCAAATGGAAGCCTATGTGACTTTCCATATTGACAGCCTTCACAAAGCTTTCCTTCATCATGAATCTTCAACTTTGAGAGCCCGTTAACGAAATCCTTATTCACCATAATCTTTAGCTTAATCATATTTATATGACGAAGCCTAGCATGTCATATAAAGGCATTATCATTCGTACTCATCTTCTCAACATAAGAATTTGAGGCCGATAAAACATATAAATCCTTAACCCGTGCTCCGGTGTGAACCACGTCTGCTTTTAATTCTTTAATATTCTTTAAGAATTTAACGTCTCTTGGGCCAAATAAAACGTAGTTACCTGAGTCAACCGCATTCACCACAGAGAGAAGATTCTTCCTTACTCCAGGAACATGATATACGTTCTTGAGAGTGATTGGGCTTCCATCATCTCCTTCAATAACGACTGTCCCTTCCTTCTCAATGCGGTGGATTGAATTATCCGCAGTAATGATGGCTTCTTTCCCGTCATGACGTTGAAAACTAGAAAATAACTTTTCGTCTCCGGTAATATGATGGCTACAACCAGAATCCACAATCCAATCATTTCCAAGATTTTTAGCTGTGATGTACCTGAAGATGCAGCCTCCACCGTGAAACATTTTCCCCATTCTTTGTCTTCAGTATGACCCTTTGATTCCGCCATATTTGTTTCCTTCAGCTTGACTCGACAATCCTTTTTGAAATGCCCAAGTTTTCCACACCGATAACACTTGAATCGCTTCTTGTCTCCCGTAGAAGATCCTTCTCGTCCATCATTATTCTTCACATTACCATATTTGGGTTTGGCTCTGAAGCTTTGTTGTCTCCCCGCTACAAAAGCGCTCCCCGAGTCATCATGGACTTTAACTCCCGCCATTTGCATGGCTAGTGATTCTTGCGAAGCTAGTAGATTTTCAAACTCCTCCAAGGAAGGTTGTGTAGCCCATCCTTGAACTGAAGTAACAAACGGTGTATATTCGGGTTCTTGTTGAACAATTGATCTAGCGCCTGCCAAATAGCACTTGCGGATGTACACCTTGAGACATGCTCAAATACTCCCGCAGATATTGACCTCTTCAAAGCAAACTCCGCCTTGGCATTCTTCCGTGTCCACTCCTTTGTCGCTTCCGCTGTTGCAGCATCTCCCCTTGGTGGTGTTGTGTTGCTACCGCTGATGACATCCCATAAGTACTCACTAACCAAGTATGACTCCATACATGACTTCCATAACCGGTAGTTAGATTGGTTTAAGATCTCCATTCCCAATCCAACGACACGACCCATTGATTCCATACTTAGAGTAAACCCGAGCTCTCTTTAAACCCCGATCTTGAAGAGCACAAGATTAGAATGACTCTGATACCATGTAAATTTAACACCGATAGTGCTTAGCACTAGCCCAAGACCGTAATACCCGAGAAACCCGAAAGAAACCAAGAGAATAAACCTCTAAGTATGAAGAAGAATATGAAGAACACTTAGAGAACACTTGAAAGACTTTTAGAGAAATGTAGAGAACTTATGAAGATGAAGACTCTTTATTTGAGCTTGCTTTATTCACTTGTTCAACTTTTTCTTCTTGCTTACAAATGAGAGAGGTGAGGGGGTATTTATAGCCTCCCAAAGATATGTTACAAAGGATCTAGATTCTTCTAATATCACCTCCATAGTTCCTAGATATTTTTCTAATCTCTAGAAATTTCTACATAATATCTAAATATTTTTATCACAAATTATCTAGATGTTTCTATACTATTATCTAGATATTTAGCTTAAAGATTTCTCTAGAACACTTTAAGGAGGTGATCAACCTTCTAGGGAGTTTCTAGAAAACCTCTAGAATTTGGACCTAATTTTGGGTTTGGTCAAACTTAGAATAATTCTATCATAAACCCAAAATTAAGCTTGATCCAAAATACCTAATTTTGGGTTTGGTCAAACTTAGAATAATTCTATCATAAACCCAAAATTAAGCTTGATCCAAAATTAAGTTTAATTTCAATACTAAGTATCTAAGCAAGAATCACTCATTTACACTTGCAAATATGACTGACAACATAGTGATAACAATTGCTTGAGTAGAATCACATCGTAACATAACATTTAGTTACTAGTGGATTTTCAAGAAGACCATTGTTGTTTAGGTGGAGATTTAGAAAAGAGTCATCAGCCATAATTTGACATAATATATTCTGCAAATGTTTTCATAATCTTAATGGGACAACTTTTGTGTAAAGCCATGATGGTCAAAGCTCATTGGTAGAAGAAAGTCTCAGACCCCTTTCCTCGCATGGAAGCAAGTGTATGAGTTGACCCCTCCGTTGCACTCCATTTATCTAAGCTTTGCATTTTCAACATCCAGATTTTTCTATTTCATTAATTATCCACACAAAACCCTTTTCCATTTGCGTCCTTTTGTCCCTTGACTACTGTTTCGGGCTCCAGTCGGATCATACCAAATGACCCGACCCGATAACGAACCCGAGCTTCGACCCCATTTACAGGTGACAAATCCTTTTCGCCACAAAAACAAAGAGGTCACCGCCACTATATAAACAGCTCCCACCTCTCCGCCAAAAGAAAGTAATCATAATCTCATTAGGAACCCATCGAAATCCGCTCATCTCGATCTAGGGCACAAAAAGAGACATCAAATCCTCAGATCTCAAACAAAAACCACTTCATTCTCGACTGAGCTCAAACTTGCTCACTTCCCCTCTTTCGCAGCGATGAAATCGGCAATCTCCCTCTTCTTGTTGATCTCGATCTCGCGCTCGCTGGTTCTGTCGTTGTCCCCCGAGATCGACGCCGGCGGTATCTTGGATCTGGCGAATGTGACGGCCGCAGCTGCCGTTAATGGATCCGCTAAGGCTAGCTTTGCTGATATGTTCGATCGAGCTCTGCAGAAGGAGTTCCCTGAGACCGAGCAGAACAGCGGAGGTTTGTAGATCTGATTCTGCGTTTTGTGTTTTGATTTGGTCAATGTGAGGGATGAGTAGGGGTTAGGGTTTTGAAATGCGTGTAGATCTTGCGTTTTTGGTTAAAGATCTCTTTGGATTTAGATGAAAGGTGGGGTTTTAGGAAAATTTTGCGGATTTTCTCAGATTTTTGTTTTCTTTTGCGAATTTTCTGATTCTTTATTAGGAAATTGAGTAAATAAAGTAATCATCGACGTCGCTTATTGGATAAGACGAATTGTCCTGTATCTTGTTAGATGTTGTTTAATTAGGCTTTATTACTTGACTTTAAGCAATTTCGCTGGTTGCATTAACTGTAACTGCTTTCTTTTCTCTTTTTTCTTCCGTTAAAACAACTTTTTTGTATAGAAATATCAATAAACGGACCATTGCTTAGTTTTACGTATAATTGTTTTCTTCTTCTTCTTCTTCTTTTTATGTTCTTGGATGTTGGCAGCAGCTGTTAAGTAAAGTACTAATTCATCTACTGTATTTGGCAGAAACTGATCCAGGCGGTTTCAACAACAGTGTTGCTGAGAATCAGGTTTCATTCTGTACCCTTTCCTATTATTTTTTTAATCGAGTTATTTGATTTAGGCCTATAGATGTCTTGATGCGTATGGAACACACAACTTTAATCAATATTAGTTCCTGCAAACTGATTGTGATCAAATCTTTGTATTGGATAGGGAACCAATACTTAAACTAATTGTATTTTGTAAACTCCTTTGCAACTGAGAATCAAGTAGCAATTGTCTTCAACAGCAAGTCTAAGCTAAATAAGGGAGAGAATGCAATTCCATTTGATCCCTGGTCAATGAGCTGGACAATTTGTGGTCACTATATGGTGATCCTTTTGGTAGAAAAAAGAACCTGAATAATACTTCTCACAAAAGTTCTTCTAGATAATCAGAGTGAACACATCATAGATAGCAAATATGGATGTGAGGAGAAGTTTAATATCTACTATCTTCCAATATATAGTTAGGTCTGTAGAAACGCAATTTCCATAGGAAAGAAGAGAGTGAAGGTTTAAAAGGAAGTTCTTCTAGATAATCAGAGTGAACACATCATAGAGAGCAAATATGGATGCGAGGAGAAGTTTAATATCTACTATCTCACAAAAGTTCTTCTAGATAATCAGAGTGAACACATCATAGGGAGCAAATATGGATGCGAGGAGAAGTTTAATATCTACTATCTTCCAATATATAGTTAGGTTTGTAGAAACTCAATTTCCATAGGAAAGAAGAGAGTGAAGGTTTAAAAGGAAGTTTGGTGTCAATGCAGCAGTGGTCAGATTGTACTGCTTGGAAACCACCAGTATCTATACAACATTCCTGTTTTGGTTGAATCAGTGTTATAGATGTTCAGTATGTTAAGGATATGTAGAAAGTAAGAGTGTACACACAACAGAAATAATATTGAAAAGTTATACATTAGTGCCCTACAAGTAGTCAAAAGGATATTTATGATTGTTAATGTCAATATAAAGGAACAAGTTCATGTGGGAGTATAGTCATGATAAGTTGTTGAATGTCCAATCTAACCATCTGCTTGAATTGCTCGAATTTTCTATAGGCATTCCATTAGAAGGTAGGCTACATGCCATGGGTGTGCTTTTATGGTACAATGTTGATATGTGTATGAGGGTTAAAACCGTTCAAAGAAATTCATAAGGTTGGGAGCTGTCGAGCCACATATGCGGATGGCTAATAGAGGAGTATATCAAAGTAGTGATGTTTCTTATGGATCTTTTTAGATGAAAGATATGAAATATACAATAGAGATATACCTTGAAAAGTGAAGCATATATGACTGCAAATTTACTTAGATCATTGGTGAGAGTAATAAACATAATTCAATTGTCTGATTCGACTATGAGGTGTAGTGGTGTACAAAGAGTTTGTTGGAAATGAGATGATTATTAGATAAGAACATTGAGATTTTAGCATGTGATACTTGATAGGAAAAACACTGTAAGTAGAATGTAGAATGGCACCTGCAGAAGTATTACATGTTTAGTGGGTTCAGTAGATGTTTGGGTACACAAACTATAAAACCTTCTATTAGCTTTAAGGCAGTGTGAAGAAAAGATAAACACGCGCGCACGCACGCGCACACCCACACACACGTGAGCCTACACATGCATGTGCACACACACACGCACACGCACACACATATACAATATACTAGGCTTTATACACGTGCAATGCACATGGTTAAATATAATGATGAAATATTTTTAGCTTATTTCCTAACTAGGTTTTTTATCGGTTCCATTTTAATATTTTTTGCTCACTTTTGTCTCTAAATTTTAACATTGCGATTATTTATTTTCTTTGATGTTTGTTTAAATGAGCTATATCCAATTTAAATTTCATGTTGATATATAGAAAACAATTATAATTTGAACCCAATTTGAATTTTTATATTATTTGGACTGACATGAAACCAAGCTTTATTTGAGAAAGTACAGTGCTGCAAAAATAAAAACATTGAAATAGTGTTATATAAGGAAGGTGAATATTTAAAACCAATAAGGCAAGATAACTGATTAGAAGTATGCTAAAACAATACAAAAGAGAATATGAAGTTTGTTCCTAATCATTAACGGACTTCATAAAAAATTATAAACTAAAGATTAATGCTAACTCTAGTATACTTTTACATGATAAAAGTATCCACGTAAGCATATAAAAGTGCTGAAAAAAGTTCATGAAAGTCCATTCTAAAGATTCTTACTTTCACTCAAAATAATTAATATATTATATAAGATATCTAGAAAATATTGCCTATTATTCATTATGTTTTATTTTTTTATTGAGCTGAGATCAATCCTTCTTTACCTTTATATTTTTTCTAGGCAATTTTAGAGTAGTGTCTTCACCATCTATATCGATTGTGAAATCAGGCTAGAGTTGTATTTTTTGTGTTATTATCTTTCATGGTCTCGTTAATCTTTTATCTTGTCGTTTAACTTCATAAAGAAGTTGAATGTATTTCTGATGTTCAACACAAACTTCTTTAAAACAAATTTAGATTTTTATTCCTTAACCGGATGTTTTTAATCAATTCTTATTGTTTTTGTTTATCAGCATCAACTTAAACTATTTTTAGATACTGAAAAGGGAGAGTAAACACTAAATTAGAAATTAAATATATATCCTAATCAAAGAATACCAAGTAATTACACTTTTCTTTGCCAAGTTTTGAAATTTCAGCCCTTTTGTGGTTTTTTAAACTTTGAGGGTGTAGTTTATAATTTTTAAAATTTTAGGAGTGTTTTAAAAAAAATTCACTTTTAAGTTTGATAGTTGTAACTTTTATGTTTCATGTGTCGGTGATAATTTTCAAATGTCAATATATTTCTTGTAACTCTAAAATTTTGAGGGTACTTTTTATAATTATTAAAATTTTAGGTTATTTTTTGAAAAATTTAGATTTAGCGATTTGCTAATAGTTTTCAGATTTGATGAATATTAGTTATAAATTTTAAAAGTTTAGATTTTTTTAATTTTGAAGAACTTTTTTTACTATTTTTGTAACTTTGAGGTTGATTTTGGCAAAATTTTAAATTTAGGTGCCTGATGGTGATCTCTTGAATTTATTTTTGTTTTTAAATTTTAAAATTTTAGAATTTTAGGGTGTTTTTTATAATTTGAACTTTCGAGAGTGTTTCTATAATTTTTGAGACAATGAGAGTGTTAATTGTAAATTTTAAATTCTTCGGAGGCTATTGTTAATTTCTTGATTTCATGTTTGTTGTTTTAAGTTTTAAAATGTCAGGATGTTTTTTTATAATTTTAAACTTTTTAGGGTATTTTGTGCAATTTTAAAAAATTTTAGGATTTTTTTGCAATACTTAATGTATTACAGTATGTCAGCTATGTATACTTTCTTTATTTTAGCAAGCTAATACGGTAAAGCTATTTTATATATTTTATTAATATTATTTTTTATACTGTTGAGCTATAGATAGTTTATGTGGGATAAGGATATGATATAATTATGATTAAGATAGATTAAAATTTAAATGAAATATTCAAAATAATGAAGTGCAATATTGACCATAGAAAGCTTTTCCTGATCTCGTGCTTTTAAAGGAAGTAAGTATATATGATATATGAGACTAATTACTATATAAAGCCTATTGATATGGATTTTTTAGATCCATTTTAATTTTATTTTCCCTTGGGTATATTTCACAAAACCCTCAAAAACTTTGGGGTGTACCCCACGAAGCCCCTTGAACTGTGTTTTTTTCCATTAATTTTCATGAAACCCTAATTATTTCCTAATAATTCCCATGAAACCCAAAAGCTCCAAAGTATCTCAAATAACACCCTACACTTTTTAGTACTTTCCAATACCCTTGCTAACAGCTTAATCGTTTAGCATTAAAAAAAATCACAAGCAACCCAAAATATGTAAATAATGATTTTTTTTTATCGCGGAGAGTTTTTTTGTTAATTTGTAGTCGTACAGATAATGTTAAGTTAGGGATTTCTAGAAAAGTTTTGGAAAGTTTAGGGGCTTTCATGGAAAATACACTTAAGTTTTGGGATATTCTGTGCAATTTATCCTTTAAAATCGAGGGGGAATCTCTTTACTTGGCTTGTGGCATACATATAACACCGTCTAGAATCAAGATATAGGATTAAAAAAAAATACTTTTTTAAAATTATTTTTAGTCGCATATATTGGTTCTAAATGCATGTGATAATTGAATAATATTCTATCATGTACGTTATGAAAAATTAGAATTCAGGCATAAAGTTAGTATGAAGATATCCATCCTATATATGCAAGATTACTTAAAGTGAAAGCAATATTACCTTAAAATAGTCTAATCTAATCTCATAAGAAGAAAATAATAAAGACACATACTTGTTGAAGGAGACGAAAGTGCTATAGAAATTATTGTAAATATTTGTCTTATATGTATTGGTATGTGTTATTGCATTTGAATGTGAGAGAATAAAAATTATAAATAGAGTTCTATTTAAATAATACTAGTATAGTTTCTTAAACTTTGAAATTATTGCTACTTTGAAATTGTATTTAGCCATGTTAAACTCGATAACTACTTCCCTTAGCCATGTTAAACGGTAACTCAAAGCCATAACTAACTTGTTCTCCACGTTTAAAATTTAAACTAAAAACAACAAAATCTTAACTGCTCTTATTCTTCTCCATAATATTTTTATCAGCAAAAATCGTAATCTTCAAAATAAATCAAGTAAGGGTATAGGACCAAGATTTGGCATTAAATGCTAACCAGATCTAAGTGCTGGCCACATAATGTTGATTCACGTGTGATTATTAAGTGGGGAAATTATTTGCTTTGACTTTTTCCATGTGCAGTAGTTAATAGGATGAAACATGATTAGATAATTGAGGTCTATGTATTAGTATTTGAGTTTAGATTTTGATTGGAAGTTTGTTAAACGGAAGCTAAGGATTAGATATTTGAGGTCTATGGATTAATATTTGAGTTCTAAGGATATTTTTGTCTAGCGAAAGCTTTTCCCGAACTCCAAA